ATAATTGTTTATCTAGCACTATTACACTTTCATAATTGTTTATCTAGCACTATTACACTTTCATAATTGTTTATCTAGCACTATTACACTTTAACTCTCAGATTACCGATTTTATTCATTCCGTTAGCTGTCAGTTGAGTTCACATAGTACCACATACAGAGTAATTTTGTTTTTTGTCTCTTACAACATTAAGTGTAAATATCTGACCAAGAAAGTTAAGCATAGTTGCATATTTTCTAAGTAAAACACATAGTGGACATCCAATAGTAATTCCTAATATTAACTACGTTGTTGCCGGTAGTTGCACTATATTAACATATGCGGCCTGTATGTTACAAAGAACCCTGTAACCAACAAAGTCATGGATCCACAAGCAATGTGGCACATTTAGAAAAATTAGTTTTAAAAGATAATGGGTCTCATCTGTAGTTCTAAAATTAAAACACTCAGAACGTAAGAGGGAAATAACAGTGATTGTATCCCCCCCACGAGTATAGTTATGGCTTTCGGTGGTGACGAAAGGAAGGGTTTGGGTCGCGGGCTAGACTACAATGATAATAGTAAGTCGTGCAACAGAGTTACAGGTAAAAGGATTTTCGAGTAATCCCATCAAGCCTGGAGGTATTATAGAATAATCTCCTCTGAAGTAATGTTCAATGGGTATTTTCCGTTCTCAAAGACCGTCCCAGGTGCGATTCTTTAAACACCTGTGTGATAGATCAGTTGGCCAGTTGCTTCGTATAGTCTCTATTGAAGCCTCCGATTGGTTCTACTTTTCTAATTTTTAACTCAACAAGCTGATTTGTAACGGCTGCAATTTTGTTTTCTTGGTTCGCATGAAACAATGTTTAAACAGTTGCTTCTGAGCTTATCGTTTCCACATTAACGTGCAACACCAGAAAAGTTGTATCTAACACTATGAAATAAAATTACCAAAATTCCATGTTTATAAATATAGTAACTGCCTAAGTTTGTCACTACGATCAGAAGATTAAAAGACATTAAAATAAGTGATATTAAACAAATTGTTCTAGTTCTTTCTAGTCCGGACTTGGCTTGATTAACGTGCCCTGACTGTGAATCCGATGATTCATGGTTCACGTCCCTTTTTCACAAAACCACGCTCCGCACATCGGGGCCCGTGTGTGTGTGATATAAGAGTGATGGTTAATTCCCACTACTTGAGCATACAAGAGTTGGCGGTGGGTGCGGTTGTTTAGCCGCCATTCCTCTAGTCTATCAGTTCAAAATTAGAAACGGCTATGTGCAGTAGCCTTTGTGTAAGTTTTCGCGAATATTCTAAAACAAACAGTCCTTCGTATCCATGAGTAAACGTAATCTAAAGGTCATGCGTAACTAATGAACCGACTGATTGAACACTGAATGGTCGGTTCGCTATAGACCAGCCAGCGCGAGCTGACATAATGCTAGCGGGGAATATTTTGGCTCGGGTCGTACGCTTATTTCCGCCTGCCGTCGGGAGCCAACTTTAAACCTCCTGTTCCGAACCGGCTTGACTGGTTATACGTAAATATCCGGAAATCTGAAGTCAAACATTAACACGTTTCATTGGCAATTTCCGTCTGAATGAGGAATTTATAGAACGCAGCAACACTATTTTTGTTTTAACTTATAAAATTATTTATTCCAAATAAGCAACTTATATGAAATAGAGGTTTGTCACAAGATTATTTGAAGAATTACTGGAATAAGAACAAAATAGCTTTATTTCTACCGGATTTCTCCGTATCTAGGATCGGAGAACCGTTTTGGAATTTATTTTCAAATCTAATATCGGAATTATGGTTAATCTTAACGCTGTCTCGGTTATATATATATATATATATATAATTTATATTT